AAGGTATGGAGATCATGATTCAGGGATGGAGGGAGGGGTCAGAGGTTGGGGTCAGGGGTCAGAGGTCAGAGTACAGGGTGATGGATTCAAGGATAGGGTGAGAGGTCAGAGGTCGGGGTGAGGGGTCAGGATACACGGTGCTGACCTGGGGATGGGGTGAGGGGTCAGGAATGGAGGGGTCAGAGGTCAGGGCACGGGGTGCTGACTCAGGGATGGGGTGAGTCAGAGGTCGGGGTCAGGGTTAGGAGTCAGGGATGGGGTGAGGGGTCAGAGGTCGGGTGAGGAGGCAGAGGTCAAGGTATGGAGATCATGATTCAGGGATGGAGGGAGGGGTCAGAGGTTGGGGTCAGGGGTCAGGGGACAAGGGCCCAGGCCCCTCTGCGCAGCCCGGCAGCCCCTCCTGCCCACGGAGGCCGTGGAGTGGGAGCTCAGGAGGAAAGAGGCCGCCAGAGCCTCCTCACAGCGGGCCGAGCCGAGGATCGCGGTGCAAGGCCAGCCCGGGCGGGAAAGCCCGGGAGACGCTCATCTCCAGGCAATCAGCAGAAAACAGCGCCGTGGCCCAAGTGGTAGAGCGCCCGCCTTGAGCTGAAGAGCTGAGGGGCAGCGCCCAGGCCCAGAGATCAGGCCCAGGCCCAGCCCACACAGAGACTCTAACGCCGAATTTACTGACTGAGGGCCGTGAACGCCCCGACACCCCATATCAATGGTTAGCCCGGGTTCACCGCCTCCTGTCCTCCGCTTAATGTTTCTTAAAAGTTGGCTGGGACTAACGATCAGACATCAGCAACACAGTGAGCAAGCCAGCGCGGACCGCAGCGCGCCCCAACGGCCGGCCGGAGATACTCACCGTCGCCCTGGTCCGCGGCCCACACCGACCACGCCGCCACCCGGCTCCTCACGTCCACCTGGGTGACAGTGCCCGGGGGCGCGGGGGCCGGCGCCCGGGGCGGCGGGGGGATGCCGGGCTCCGCCTTGGCGATCATCCTGAAACACAGGAACACCACCAGGCCGTTCTCAGTCACGGCTTGAGTGCTTCACCCTCAAAAAGAGCTACGCAGCCGGGCGCCAGCGCTCACGCCTGTCATCCCAGCGACTCAGGAGGCTGAGATCTGAGGATCGAGGTTGGAGGCCAGCCTGGGCAGGAAAGGCCGTGAGACCAAAAAGCCAAGAAGCAGAGCTGTGGCTCAAACGGCCCTGAGTCCAAGCCCTGAGACACACACACACACACACACAGGAGGGAATGGATGAAAGAAAGGACAAAGTTCAGAGAGAAGGAGGAGGAGGCTGGGGAGAGCAAATACGCAGAGGCCACAGCTTCCGAGCCGCAGGATGCACACCTGCGCTGAGAGTCCTTTTCCTAACCCTTTAGGGAAAAGGATCCACCATGTTTGAGAGGTCGCGTTCGCCCGGCTGGTCCCGCACTCACCTCAGCGCCTCCGGCCTCCGTTTCTGCTTCCCGCCTCGGCTGTCGCTCACGGCACTCTCGATATCCTCACTGATCAGGTTCGCCTGCAACAAGACACCTGTTACCAGAAGGTTCTACCCGGAGCGACGTGTGGTGGACGTGAGATTAAACTAGAGAAAGCCGGGCGCTGATGGCTCCCGCTTGTCATCCCAGCCACCCGGGAGGCTGAGGACTGAGGATCACAGTTGGAGGCCAGCCCCGGCAGGAAAAGTCCGTGAGACTCTGATCTCCAGTGAACCACCAAAAACTGGAAGGGGCGCTGTGGCTGAAGTGGTAGAGCGCCAGCCTGGAGTGAAAGAGCTCAGGGACAGCACCCAGGCCCTGAGTTCAAGTCCCAGGACTGACCAGCACAATGAGGAAGGGCAGGGAATGGTCCCGCGCGTGTACCTTCACCTCGTCGCACTGGAAGAGGTGGAGGTCGGGCTTGTTCTGCGTGGATTCTTTGCACACCAGGGCCAGGATGGAGTCGTAGCTGCAGGCCTTCTGCACGGCCTGGCAGTGCTGGATGGTGCTGAGAGGGAAATTCTCCAGTTCATTCTACACACAGAGGAGACTCGGTCAGGTCCTGGCTTGGCCCGCAGGGGTGGGGCGTGGCGGGGAACTCAAAGGCCTCCCCGGTGCCTCGACTTACCTGGGACTCCAGGTCGATGAGGCTCACGGCTCGGTCATCCACCTGCAGAATCATGTCCTGAGTCCACACTTTGCCCTTGGCATCCAGCAGCTTCAGCTTCCGGATTCCGTCCTCCACGTTGAGCATGGCATCCTTCCGGTCCAGGATGAAGGTGGTCAGGTGCTGCACACGGGCCAAAGACAAGCCACACGTTAAGAGAATGCCGAGCTGAGACTAATTACAACCACGTGTTCGTTAGAACCGACGCCACCAGAATCCAGCCACGAGCGCGTCGTCATTGTCTTAATTCTCATCCATAATGACGTTAGAAACTGACAAGTATGTATCGGTGACACGGGGCATATGGCTTTCATATACATGTTCCCATCGAAGTCAGGGATGGGAGAAATGTAGACTAAACACAAAGCACCCTGCAGCCCCACCCCACCTCCTTGTCTTCCTGGGAAGAGGAGATCACAGGACTCTTCTCAATACAGAAAAAGGATAACTTGGTTCCGAAGACAGATCAAAATCTGTCTCAGAGCCGGGCGCCGTGGCTCCCGCCTGCCATCCCAGCGACCCAGGAGGCTGGGATCTGAGGATCGTAGTTCAAAGCCAGCCTGGGCAGGAAAGTCCATGAGACTCTGATCTCCAATGAACCACCAGAAAACCAGAAGTGGCGCTGTGGCTCAAGTGGTAGAGCGCCAGCCTTGAGCGAAAGCAGCTCAGGGCCCTGAGTTCGAGTCCCAGTGCACACACACAGACACAGACACACAAAGACTCCTCCTGAACACACAGGCGTGTTACCTCCACTCGGTACTGAGAGACATCGGGCACGCTGCTCACGCTGTCCCGCGCGTAATTCTTCCTTTGTTCTGGGAGAGAGATGATCGCCACTGAGCCACGCCTCGCTCGAGGGCCGGGTGGAAATCCAGCCTGTGTCTCTCATACCAATACAGTAGCGGACACGCCACCACAGCCCGGCTTTCCTGAAAACCTTCACCCAGAAATCGAGAAGCCCGAAGAAGCCATAACGGCATGCAGGAAGCCTTTGGGGTAAGTATGAACGATCAGCGCTCCACGTGAACACCATCTATGTTCAGTTGGGCACCAGTGGCTCCCGCCTGTCATCCCGGCTACTTGAGGAGGCTGAGATCTGAGGATCGTGGTTCGAAGCCAGCCCTGGCAGGAAAGCCCGTGAGACTCTGATCTCCAATGAACCAGCAAAAAGCCGGAAGTGGAGCTGTGGCTCAAGTGGTAGAGCACCAGAGCGCAAAGAGACTCAGGGATGGCGTCCTGGCCCAGGCTGGCACACGTATAAAAATACATTATTTTTCTCTTGAAAAGATTATAAATGTTGTAAGAAAAGTAAATAAATGATCAGGCCTCTGGCTGTGGGTGAAGATTAAAGCCAGCTTTGTACACGTGGGGTGAAAACACAGTTGTAAATACTGTATTCTATGAGGCACACACACACACACACACACGCACGGGAGGCACGGGGGGGGGGGGTGGAGTGACTGTGGGCTGGGGTCATGTGATCGGGACACACGCAGGGCACACACAAGTTGTGTTAGGGGAAAAGGAAGAAGAGAAGAAGAAAGTGGAGCCAGACCGCAAAGCCCACCAGAGATGCTGCAGGCCAAAATGCACAGGTGTGTCACAGCACACACGCACACACACGCTGCACACGGGCGTGTCGCTGGCTTCCCGTAGGGGGACCTGCCTCCTGACTCACTCCCGCACGGAAGGCCGTGATGGAAAGGAATTTAATTTGGGGGGGGGCGGTGTTGGGGGGACAGGTGGGAATCAGGTCTCCAAACTCCGCTTCTCGTGGGGACTCAGTGTGGACAGGGCGCGGGCGGAGGCCGGGCGCGGGCGGAGGCCGGGCGCGGGGGCTCACGCCTGTCATCCCAGCTACTCAGGAAGCTGAGATCTAGAGGATCGAGGTTCAAGGCCAGTCCAGGGCAGGAAAGCCCGTGAGACTCTGATCTCTAATGAATCACCAGAAAAATGGAAGTGGCGCTGTGGCTCAAGTGGTAGAGCGCCAGCCTTGAGCTGAAGAGCTGAGGGGCAGCGCCCAGGCCCTGAGTTCAAGCCCCAGGACTGACAAAAGCAAACTTGGACGAGGAGTTCTTTTCCACTGCGGCCTTCTGGGCCGCTCGCAACCCGGGGAGGAAGCCCCGCGCTCTTTATTCTGATTTTGGCCCCGCAGGGCTGGAGGAAGGAAGGGAAGCCAGCGCACGCAGGACACACACTACCTTTCTTCTTTTGTTTGGACGACGACCTGAAGAAATAAGATCCCTCGGGTCCTAGCAAAATAACGTGGTCAGAAAAGAAAGATCTGAGCCGGGCTCTGTGGCTCCCGCCTGTCACCCCAGCCACTTGGGAGGCTGAGAGCTGAGGATCGCGGTTCCAGGCCAGCCCGGGCAGGGAAGTCCCTGAGACTCTGATCTCCAAGGAACCAGCAAAAGGCTGGGCTGGAGCTGTGGCTCAGGTGGTAGAGCGCCAGCCTTGAGAGAAAGAGCTCAAGGGGCAGCGCCCAGGCCCCGAGTTCAAATCCCAGGATGAACGAAAAAGAAAAAACAAAAGATCTAGTTTCGCCTCAGATTTGGACTCCAGCATCACACATTCGGGGAGGGGGAGCCCAGTCTGGTAGGCCAGCGCCTCGTTCCCTCCATGCCAGTCCCTGCCATTCACGTACGGCGCCATCACCACCAGAGCGAGCTGCTGCCCACCAATCATGCTGCGCCCTCAAGCGTGCGTGGGAGGCTGACCGCCTGAGCCACGCTCCCGGCCCAGCTTATTTGTTTTTGCTGGTTCTTTGGGAGATGGGGGAGACGCGTGGCTCTTTTCTGCCTGAGTTGGCTCATGAACCGCGATCCTCCGGATCTCAGCGTTCTGGGGAGCGGGGATTACAGGCGGGAGCTACCACTGCCTTGGCCTGTAACCCACGTGAAGAGCTGTAAGGAAAGACCAGTGGTTTGTGCAAAGCTGGTGGGGCCCGGGCAGGGCGCGTACCGTACAGGGTCTTTGCGCTGGACTTGGAGCTGTGATCTCTGTCCACGGGAGACAAACTGGGGGGTGGGGCGTAGCCACTGTAAGGAAAACAAAACAGGAAGGAGGCGTGAAGCGATGGCGGGCGCAGGCGGGGTTTGCTGACCCTGTGGGGGGGTGTGGAGCAGACCTACGCACAGATGCCCACTGCACAATGTCAATGAGATCCGGGGTCCCTCCCATGTGCAGCCTGACCCCCAATACCAGGCTACAGACCACCTGAGCTTTTCCTGCTGGTTCAGTGGAGATCAGAGTCTCACAGGCTTTCCTGCCTGGGCTGGCCTCGAACCGCGATCCTCAAGATCTCAGCCTCCTGCAGGGCTGGGATTGTAGGCGTGAGCCACCCTGCCGGGCCTTGTTTATTTACTTTTCTCTCTCCCTTCCCGTTAGTAACAACTGCGTTGTTCAGTAAACATTTATTGACCTCCTTCCCCTCCCAAGCCAGAAAGAAATATGGAATACAGGAAGAGACACAGGCCCCACCCCGGCGGCTCACACCCGTCAGCCCAGAACTCAGGAGGCTAACACAGGAGGATCGCAGTTCGAAGCCAGCCTGGACAGGAAAGTCCGTGAGACTCGTATGTCTAGTGAACCACGGAAAAGCCAGAGGTGGAGCTGTGGTCCAAGTGGTAGAGCGCCAGCCTGGAGCACAAAAGTCTTAGAGACAGCTCGCAGGCCCTGAGTTCAAGCCTCAGAGACACACACACACACACACACACACACACACACACACACACACACGCATGGCTGGGCGTAGCAGCAGCTACATACAAGCCCAACCACTCCAGCAGCAGAGGCGAGAGAATTAGAAGTTCAATTCCAGCCTGGGCCGCAGAGTGAGACGCTTGGTCTCCAAAATAAACACGTTCATTTCATTCATTCCTTCACTCCTTCATTCATTCCCTCAGCCCAGCCAATCCAGCGCCCCGCAGCACCAACCAGTGACTCACTTGGGCTGGGAAGAGTACAGGCCAAAGCCGCCGGGCAGGTGTGCGCTCATGCCGACGCCAGCTCCGGGCCTGCAGGGAAGACACAGAAGTTCCTATGAAGGGCAGGCCAGCACCTCACTGCGACCCGGGTTCGAAGCCAGCCCGGGCAGGAAAGTCCACGGCCCGCACATCTCCCAGAAACGACTCAGGAAACGCCAGAGGTGGCGCTGTGGCTCAAGTGGTAGAGCGCCAGCGTGGCGCAAAAGAGGCTCAGGGACAGTGCTCAGGCCCTGAGTTCAAGCCCCACAACCGGCGCTGGCGCACATGCGCGTGAACACACACACACACACACACACACGGGAAGTCAGCCTTCGTCCTGATCTGTTTCTCCTGCGTTTTCTTGAAATGACGGAAAGGGTAAACCAGGGCTCAGGTCACGGGTGGGAACGCGGTGTCTGCCCCTGAGCAGGGACGGCAGGAGTGCTCGCGCTGCCCTGCCCTTCCCTGTGCGACGGGACGCGGCTCTGAGGGGCAGAGCTTGCTCTGCCAGGCTCCCCCTCCCAGGACGGAGGGCTGCGGGCGCGGGCGCTCAGCACGGGGTGAGATCCCACCAGCGTGTGCTGGGTGCTGGGTGCTGGGTGCTGGTGTGATGTCTTGCGGATCAGCTCTGAGGCCCGGTCCACACCGACGCCTTCGAGAATGTACTAGAAAAGCCCCCCCACCCCGGGGCAAACAGCACCACGGGAGGGAGGAGGACGGGACAGGCACCCCTGGACCAACCGGAGTCACATAAAACGGCTTTTCTGCTTTGCCCGTGGTGGGACTTGAACTCGGGGCCTGGGCGCTGTCCCTGAGCTCTTTCGCTCAAGGCGGGTGCTCTACCACTTGAGCCACAGCGCCACTTCTGGTTTTCTGGTGGTTGGTTGGAGATCAGAGTCTCACGGGCTTTCCTGCCCGGGCTGGCCTCGAACCACGATCCTCCGTCTCAGCCTCCTGAGTCGCTGGGATGACAGGTGGAGCCCCAGCTTACAAGACATCTTCCCATTGCTATGCACAAGTCTTTAGCTAACAGAGGCGCGTGCACACAGACTGGCCCAACCCAGTCCAGAAACACAGGCTTCCAGAACCATCTTTTACGAGATGGAAACTCCCAACAGCTTCAGTGGTGTCTAAAAATAGCAAACCATAAAAACTCAGGGCGGCACGGGCGCGGGGTCATATTTAATATTTAACCCGCGCCACCCCAGGGCTTCTCAGGCCTGGGAGCAAAGGACGCTGGTCCTGAACCCGCCCCGGGCCGTGGCCCCGAGTCTCTGCCCCGGCTCGCCCAGCCTCGGGGTTCATGAAACCAAGCTGGCGTGGGAAAGCCTCTCCCATGTCTCCAAAGCACACACGCCTCCTCCCAAGATGATTTCACCTGGAAACCGGGGTCTCGCCGGGCACCGTGGCTCCTGCCTGTCATCCCAGCAACGCAGGAGGCTGAGATCTAGAGGATCGCGGTTCGAGGCCAAGCCCGGGCAGGAAAGGCCGTGAGACTCTGATCTCCAATGAACCAGGCCCCATGTACAAAGATGAAAATGTACTCTTTCCTAAATACTCTGTGTGTATGTGTGTGTGTGTGCGTGTGTTGTGTGTGTGTGTGTGTGTGTGTGTGTGTGTGTGTGTAGGTCCTGGGGTTTGAACTCAGGGCCTGGGCGCTGTCCCTGAGCTCTTTCACTCAAGGCTGGTGCTCTACCACTTGAGCCACAGCGCCACTTCTGGTTTTCTGGTGGTTCCTTGGAGATCAGAGTCTCACAGACTTTCCTGCCTAGGCTTGGCCTTGAACCGCGATCCTCAGATCTCAGCCTCCAGAGCGGCTGGGATGACAGGCGGGAGCCACCGGTGTCCGGCTTCCACAGATTGTTGATAAAAGGAAAAGAAAATCCCAGAAGAACCATTGAAGTCACCTCGAAGCTGAACTTGAGAGGCTGGGCTGCAGAATCTAAGCCCTGTTTACACCAAACATGGAGCCAGCAGCACAGAAGGTCAGCGGCCTGATCGGACAGGAAAGAGGGCCAGCTGTGTGTGGAGGGATCGGATCACCCCCCCCCCCCCCCTAACCCCGCCCCCCGGTTGTGATTCTAACAACAAGACTCGTCAAACCCCAGGAAGCAGCAAACCCAAGCGCCCAGGGCGCCCGGCTGGAAATGTGTTTTCCCATCTCCAAATCAGGCAAACGGATGAATCCGGGAACTCCACAAGGCCTACTATGGCAAACAGGCCTGGTGGCTCACGCCTGTCATCCCAGCTGCTCAGGAGGCTGAGATAGGAGGATCGCGGTTCAAAGCCAGGCCAGGCAGGAAAAGTCTGGGAGACTCTGATCTCCAAGAAAGTCAGAAGTGGTGCTGTGGCTTAAGTGGTAGAGCGCCAGCCTTGAGCAAAAGCAGCTCAGGGACAGCGCCCAGACCCTGAGTTCAAGGCCCAGGACACCCCCCCCCAAAAAAAAGGAGCAGGCACGCAATGCCAAGGGGTTCCCCTGCCCGGTGGGCACTCGATTGCTTTTCCTTGCAGCCAAGTGCGTTTTCCCACATGGAGTTCCTTTTTCTTGTGCCAGTCCTGGGGCCTGAACTCAGGGCCTGGGCGCTGTCCCTGAGCTCTTTCACTCCAGGCTGGTGCTCTACCGCTTGAGCCACAGCTCCTCTTTCAGCTTTTTGGTGGCTCATGGGAGCTCAGTCTCATGAGCTTTCCCACCGGGCTGGCCTCGAGCCGCGATCCTCGGATCTCAGCCTCCCGAGTCGCCGGGATGGCAGGCGGGCGTGACCGGCCTGTGGTTTGTTTTTTTTAACCACATTCAATCCGGAAACATCTCCCCTGCTCGTGTCGGAGCTGAGAGGCTCCAATTTTCTAGCAAACAAGTGTTGGATTTTATTATTATTAGCTTTTAGGAGATACGAGACCCAGTGTTTACAGGAACAGAGTTTAATCTCAACACCACGGATGTTTCTGGAAAGGCCAGGGCTTGGCCAAGAGCTCCAGGGCTGCGGGAAGCAGATTGGAGCAGGTGCCAAGTTCTTTACAGACACAGAAATCACGGCATCCAGCTTCAGAGCGCAGCATGATGGTCAATGGACACCGGGCAGAAACGCTGCGCAGCCCCCGCCCTGCCCAGACCCGCTATCCCCGGCCAACACTCAACGGGCACGCTGCCAAAACCCAATCGTCACGGTGTCAGAGCGCGCTCAATATTCCTCATGCCAAAATACGCTCCAATATCCACTGTGCCAAAACCCAGCATCCACTGTCAAAATGCAACACGCCCTGGGCCACAATTCAATAGTCACTGTGCCAAAAGCTAACATGCCCTGGGCCAAAATTCAACAGTCACTGTATCAGAAACGCCAACATTCACTGCATCAGAAATGCTATTCAACATTCACTGCATCAGAAATGCTATTCAACATTCACTGCATCAGAAATGCTATTCAACATTCACTGCATCAGAAATGCTATTCAACATTCACTGTATCAGAAATGCTATTCAACATTCACTGCATCAGAAATGCTATTCAACATTCACTGCATCAGAAATGCTATTCAACATTCACTGCATCAGAAATGCTATTCAACATTCACTGTATCAGAAATGCTATTCAATATTCACTGCATCAGAAATGCTATTCAACATTCACTGCATCAGAAATGCTACTCTACATTCACTGCATGAGAAATGCTATTCAATATTCACTGTATCAGGGACAGGAGGGGAAACTGTGGGAAGGAGGGACTTTATCCACAAGAAGCCCCCACACCCCTTGGCTGCCTGGCGAGGTGCTTGTCCTGCTGAGCCACACCTGCGTAATGGCAGTAAAATTCTATTTTTGTAAAGGTGAGTCACACGGCCGGGCGCCGGTGCTCACGCCTGTCATCCCAGTGACTCGGGAGGCTGAGATCGGAGGATCGCGGTTCGAGGCCGGCCCGCGCAGGTGAGTCCCTGAGACTCATCTCCCATAAACTGTGGAACAAGCTGGGAGGGGCGCTGTGGCTGGAGTGGTAGAGCACCGCCAGCCTTGAGCAGAGCAAAGCTCAGGGACGGCGCCCAGGCCCTGAGTTCAAGTTCCGAGACTATCTAGAAAAGTTACACCTCACACCGCGTGTGGGCCTGAAGAGAAAGTGTGCAGCCCCCCCCCCACGCGCACACACGCAAGGGGCAGGCCGGGCTCCGAGGGCCCGCGCTTAGTCCCGGCCCGGCCTGCATGGGCTGAGGTTTTCACCATCTGGTCTAGAAAGCAGAACTTGGGGTGAAAGTGCACCCCATTTCCACGGAGAATTCCAGAAGTGACTCAGAGGAAAAGAAAGCAGTTGTCCTGTGAGTCACGAAGCCTCCTTTCCAGAACCACCCAGAACCTTCTTAGAAGGAAGCAGTGGCACTAGCCATGTCAGTTTCCCCGTTCGGGACACACCCTTCCCCAGCCGGCCAAGAACGCCGTCATCTGATCAACACCAGGACGGCCGAGCCACGGCTCCCCACCTGTAATCCCTCCCCCTTCACACCCCAAACCTCTCACGAGACACTGACACATCTTTACCAGCACGTCCGCCTCTCAGGGTGAGGGCAGGACTGTTCTGGAGGCGTGGTTCACGTGGTACAGCACCAGCCTGGAGCAAAAGGAGCTCAGGGGCAGTGCCCCGGCCTGAGTTCAATATCCATCCATCCATCCACCCATCCATCCATCCATCCATCCACCCATCTATCCATCCATCCATCTACCCATCTATCCATCCATCCATCCACCCATCCAACCAACCATCCATCCATCCATCCATCCACCCATCCAACCATCCATCCATCCATCCACCCATCCATCCATCCATTCACCCATCCATCAATCCATCCATCCATCCACCCATCTATCCATCCATCCATCCACTCATCCAACCATCCATCCATCCATCCATCCACCCATCCAACCATCCATCCATCCATCCATCCATCCATCCATCCACCCACCCATCCACCCATCCATCAATCCATCCATCCATCCACCCATCTATCCATCCATCCATCCATCCATCCATCCATCCACCCATCTATCCATCCATCCATCCATCCACCCATCCATCCATCCTTCCATCCATCCATCTATCCATCCATCCATCCATCCATCCATCCATCCATCCATCCATCCATCCATCGGTGGCAGGCCTGACTTATGTAACTGCGACCCCTCCCTGCATATATAATATCTATTAATTAATATACTATAATTACATAAGCAAATAATACTTGTCATTTATGGTCTATCCGTCATACCTGATATGTAACACATAAGTGCAACCTAAGTCTAGAAATAAAGTTAACTAATACAGTCATAATTAATATATTAGCATATGATAACCGTTTAAAATAACAAGGAACAACAAAGCAATAAAAGTCGCTGTTGTTGTTGTTTAAGGGACAGAAAATGGAGGGAAAAAGTAGGCACCTCCGGGGTCACGGGTCCCGATACCTCTCAGCCAGAAGCCCCCCCAAAAAAATTAAGAATAAAAAGAAAATCCAAACGAGTCTGCAAAGCCTTCAGGAGAAGCAGGAAGTTCCCCGGGCCTTCAGTGGGTACTAACTGCATCCCGTCCGCAGCCCGGCCCGGGCTGTGATATGAGGAGCTCAGGAGAGCTCTCGGGGCCTGACCGGGAGCGCGTGTTTTGTTCTGTTTTGTTTTGTTAGAACGGAGGGCGGCGGCTGCCGGGCTGGGCATCGGGGTGCCCCGCCGCCCCCCCATGCCCTGCGGGGAGCTGGCAGCAGCTCAGGGCTTTGAACAATCAAGGGCCAGGCCCGGCCGGGCCGCACAGCGATCCTTCCCGGCTCAGTGGCCGTGACGCTCGCTCTGTTCCTGGGGCCGCTGCCAAGTGCCACAGACGGTATCTCGCCCACCCACGTGGACTTCTAGAAAGATCCGGGCTGTCCAAACTGGTCACCCTGCCCGTGTCCTCCGGTCCTGCCCAGATCTAGCTGTGAGCACCAGATGCTTCACGCCCCAAAGCACAACTCGACTTTCCTCCTCGGGTGGGGAAGGTCGGCTCACATGCCAGGCTGGGATCGAACCCAACACGCAGACATGAGCAGTCTAAGCGTTCAGTTGCTCAACTAAATTGGAGAAAAGAAGGAATGGGGGGGGCGGTCAGTCCTGGGTCTCGAACTCAGGGCCTGGGCGCTGTCCCTGAGCTCTTCAGCTCCAGGCTGGTGCTCTACCACGTGAGCCACAGCACCATGTCTGGTTTTCTGGTGGTTCATGGGAGATCAGAGTCTCACAGACTTTCCTGCCCGGGCTGGCCTTGAACTGAGATCCTCAGATCTCAGCCTCCTGAGGTGCTGGGGGGACAGGCGGGAGCCACGGAATTTTTAAGTGTGTAGTAGTTGCTCAGTTAAATTAAAAACCTGCGCCTGGCAGCCAGGAGGAAGGCGGTGCGGTCCAACAAAGAAGATACAAGCCACGCTCGCGCCTCCGCTCCGGGGCCACCTCGGTCACGGCCATCTGGGAAAACGTCCCAGAAATAAAGTCAGGCCAGGTGCCTTGAGCTGAGGGACGGCGCCCGGGCCCCGAGTTCAAGTCCCAGGACTGACCAAACCACAGAAACCACTGTCCGAGCGTCATGCTGAGCAGCCCGGGGAAGAAAGTAAATCACAAAAATGAGAAATCAAGCCGAGGCTCCTGGCTTAGGGGGTTGAGATGGGGTCGGAGGCCGGCGGGCCCTTGGGGCAGAGCCCAGATGGTACAGCTGCGGCCGCTGAGGCCCGGGCCTCAAAATGTGGCTGGAAGAGGGGCCAGAGCCCCGCCCAGCACCCATCGCGAGGGTCCCACCCCGCCAGCAACATCCCCCGGGATGCTCAGCTCTGTGAACAGCTGTGTGTGTGTGTGCGTGTGTGTGCACGCGCACTCGCATTGGTAATGGGCCTTAAGACATAGAAGAAGAGCCTTAAGAACTGATACATGGCCCGAAAGCCAGCACGCACAAGAATGTATTCTAAAACAACACCAGTAGCTCACACCTTTAATCTCGGCTACTCAGGAGGCTGAGATCAGAGGACTGTGGTTCAAAGCCAGCCCGGGCAGGAAAGTCTGTGAGACTCTGATCTCCCATGAACCACCAGAAAACCAGAAATGGAGCTGTGTCTCAAGTGGTAGAGCTCCAGCCTTGAGCTGAAGAGCTCAGGGACAGCGCCCAGGCCCTGAGTTCAAGCCCCACATTCCCCTGTTCACGCAAAACAAGTCCTATACATTATAACCAAGCCACTGCAGCCCCCCACTTCCTTGAGGGGGGCTTTCCTCAGACCTCATCTTGGGGTCCCTGGTACCAAGCCTGCAGACCATGGGTGCTTTCAAGGAGCTTCGCACACGGTTTCACAGAACAGGAAGACTCACTCCCAGCCTCCACGCAGCGAGTGAACGAAAGGCGGAGAGCCCCCTGCAGAATTCAAACGCACACCCCACACACACCAGACATGCACCCCAGTACACCGGACACACACCCCAATACACCAGACACACACCCCCAATACACCAGACACACACCCCAATACACCAGACACACACCCCAATACACCAGACACACACCCCAATACACCAGACACACACCCCCAATACACCGGACATGCACCCCAATACACCAGACATACACCCCAATACACCAGACATACACCCCAAATACACCGGACACATACCCCAATACACCAGACACACCCCCAATACAGCAGACAGACACCCCAATACACCAGACACACACCCCAATACACCGGACATGCACCCCCATACACCAGACATGCACCCCCATACACCAGACAGACACCCCCAATACACCAGACATACACCCCAAATACACCAGACACCCCCAATACACCATACACCCCAAATACACCAGACATGTACCCCCAATACACCAGACAAACACCCCAATACACCAGACATGCACCCCCAAATACACCAGACATGCACCCCAAATACACCAGACATACACCCCAAATACACCAGACATGCACCCCAATACACCAGACATGCACCCCCAAATACACCAGACACACACCCCAATACACCAGAGAGACACCCCCAATACACCAGAATGCACCCCAAACACACCAGACATACACCCCAAATGCCCCCAGACACCCCAATACACCAGACAGACACTCCAAATACACCAGACATGCACCCCAAATACACCTGATATACACCCCAATACACCCGATGTACACCCCAAATACACCCCAAATAGCCCGGACATGCGAATGGGGATCTTTTCTGAAGCCCTCGGCGGGGCGGGGGGGGGCTGCGCGGGGGTGCGCGGGGGTGCACATGAGTGTTCTGTGCCTGGTCCCCGGCGAGGATCTCGGGGTGCGGTGAGGCTGGAGGGGGGCTGCAGGGCGGGAGTGTGTGCGGGCACACCCCTGCCGGGCACACGTCTACCCCCGACCCCCACCGTGGAAGCCCTTCGTCTGAACCCCAAAACCCTCCGCACCCTGGTGAGGCCCGTGAGAGCACCCCGACTTCTCCTCCTTCCGAACCACTCGGAGCTCATGGAGAAAGACGAGTTAAGGAACTCCTGACCTGACCCCCCCCATCCCAGCCGCTCAGGAGGCTGACATCCGGAGACTCGCAGTTCGAGGCCAGCCCGGGGCAGGAAAGGCCACGAGAGACTCTCATCTCCATGAGCCAGCCAAAAACAAGAGCCCAGAGTGGCGCTGTGGCTCAAGCGGCAGAGCGCCAGCCTGCAGCGCCAGCAAAAGCACGCACAGCTCAGGGACAGCGCCCAGGCCCTGAGTTCAAGTCCCAGGGCAGCCAACCAAGACAAGAAAAAAGAAACCCCCCCCCCCCCAACCACGGCCACAGACATTTGTCCTGGACTGGACACAGGGAGAGGCCCACCCTCCCCTCCTCCCCTCCTCCCCCTTCCCCTCCTCCCACCCTCCCGGCCCCCGGGAGCTTTTCCTCCCCACTGGCCCCAGGACACTTACACATCCACGGGCCCTGGCTCAGACGCAGGCCCGGCCGGCGCACCCCGGAGCCGGGACAGCGGGGCCGAGCGACTTTTAACACCGGCGCAGGCAGGGCCGGGCCGGGCACGCGCCGGGCAGGCGGGCGGGAACTA